AGTTAGAGGCGGAGATGGAGGCGTGGTCTCTATTTTGAGGAATATTATGGTGGGAGGTCCTGTTTGCCTTCATCCTGGGGGCTGTTTTTTACTCCTCATCCTCGCCTGACCTCGGGGACCTTTCGTTCTTTCTATTGTTTTCATGTTCTGATCACTCAGCCTTCAAGAAAGTCTTGGCTTGGGGCCTATTTCACCTATTGAGATGTCACCTTGCCTCCTCTGGATGAGATTTATTACCTCTGGGCTCTTTGTACAATGTACCTGTGGCTTATGTTTACAGAATTTGTACAGAACAAGATCTCCTTAGAGCAAGGTAGAGAAATGGGGGGGGGAGAACAGTGGGCCCCTGCAGCAAGATGCTTCAGTTAACCCTTCTTCCTTCATTCCCCCCTATTCTTTGAACTTACGAACTCTTTCGTCAAGTTCCAATGAAGTATGGGTGTGGTAATTTATATTACAGTCGCATATTCAAAAGGATAGTAAAAAAAATACATAACTATTCCTAATACAATGATTAATGATTTTGGGGGTTTAATCCAGTCCTGTTGTGTGTATGATTTGTTGTACTTATCAAGAGTCCAAGGAATAATGTTGGAGTCTGCCAGTCCATGGTAGTGGGTTCTTTCAGGAGTTCTTTTGGGGGTTCTCTGGAGTTTTCTTGACTCGGGAGTAGTGGATCCAAGCAGGTAGTTCCTTAATCCAGATCGCCGTAAAGGTGGTCAGTAGCATCTGGGGTGGTCCTTCCGACTTTTCCTGCAGAGGTTTTCCTAAAAGATTCTGAACATATACTAATCACTGGGATGAAAAGGATGCAATTTACAGTCAGGTTGTTTGTGTATTACCACTATGACATTTTTATAAAATGTTTTCCCACTGCTATTACATCATTTAGCAGGATTTTGGTTACTTCTTTCTCTTTATTTGTCCTGCATGGGAATGCTTCAGGCCACCCAGAAAATGTGTCTGTCAAAACAGGGAGGTGTCTATACCCCCCTTTAAAGAAATTAATTTGCCACACTTCTGTGGGGAATTTTTCCCTGTTAATTGCCTCTTTTTATATTCTAGTCCCTGTGTTAGGGTTATTCTTTTGGAAGCACTAATTGTCCTGTCTCTAACTGACCCCACCCGTTATTTAGTATCTTACCTTTGTTTCTCTGTATTTACCTGTGATCTGAGTCTTGGTACTCTGGCTGAAAATTAATATCTAATTCCTCTGTAACTAAGGTTGATATAATTACCTCATCAGTTCTTGCAGCAGCTAATTTAGCTTCTGCGTCAGCTCTCTGGTTACCTGTTTCTGGAACGGTGTTACCTTTCAGGTGTCCCTTGCAATGCATTATGGCCACTTGTTTTGGGAGTTGGACGGCTTCCAACAACTGTAGGATTTCCTCAGCATGTTTTGCAGGTTTTTCTTAGG